AATTCAGAATCAGTTATTTTTTATTTTCGGTCCCAAAAACTTTTCATTATTCCGAACCCCTCAAACAATAGCTGATTCTGAATAATTCCCCGAACACTTTTCATTAATCCGAACCCCTCCATTAAATCGGGTGCCACATTAAAAGTTGTTGCGGCTTTGTACAAGTTGGGAAGAGGCTGTACATGCATACATACATGCGGATACACATGGGCATGTGAGAGCTTGAAATGAAATGTAATGTATGTATACATGCATGCATGCATGCATACAGATGTTATGCCTAAATGAGTGTTGTTATTTCTTCATTAGTGTAATTATTATTGTTGTTGTTATTGTTATTATTATTGTTGTTATTATTATTGATGAGGATGGACAGCTTCCTCACTCCGGGCACAAGTCCATGTGCGCGCGGCTCTTGGTCTTCCACGACGATTATTAGTGAGTCCCCATACGGTCCCAACGGTTGTATTGAAAGGCCTATGCATCCCTATAGGTTCCCTTATAAGGGTATCCTCCCAAATTGAGAACCAATTTTGCAGAGACAGGGGTGGATGTTTCACGGCTGTGGGTTGGCTTAGGGGCTTCGGAGTTGTACCACTTAGTTCAAGCTTCTGGGGATCTGTGAAATGTTCAGTTTCTTGGGGTGTGTGTGTCCTCTGGGACATATTCCATATATAACACAATTTTTGTTTGTAGCTTCCAGTTTCTTTTCCACTCACCCTATGTTACCCCAATCGATCATGTACCGAAAGCCATATTCTGTGGGAGTGTATCATGGGGACCTACAGTTCTGAACATACTCATGCACCTCTAGGATGCCCGGGGTACCTCTGCCACGCAATCCAACTCGAAACCTGAAATTCCATATTTCAAATTTCAAACTTAGGGCCCTAAACCTTAAACCGTAAACCTGAAACCCTAAATCTTACCCTATGGATCCAAGTACACAAGCAATACCTACATTGGGCCCTAAAGTCTGTAAATATTACCTAAGTTAGGCTATTTGGATTCCTAAGATTAAGCCCGGTACTCTCAAATCCCCATTGAATTTCCTTAGTTTTAGGATTTAGGGTTTAGGGTTTGGGGTTTGGGGTTAGGGTTTAGGTATACCCACCCTTGGAGGCTGGTGCACTGTGCCGGTGGCATCGGCCGCGCAGGTTGGGCCCGCGGGGGAAGCAATAGGAACTGTTCTGGTAATAGCAACAGTAATAGTAACAGTAATCGTTATAGTAGCAGCAAGAGCAATATTACGTGTTAGAGTGAGACTAAGACTAAGAATAAGAACAGCATGGGATTTGATAGCCCCAAGGCCCCGAATTAGAATTCATTTTAGTCATATGGTAGTTGTAGGGTGCTGAATTGAGGGGTTTGGTTTACCAAAACCGTCTCCATGATCGAAGGGTACGGTTAAAACTTGCCCCCAATTGCCTGTATGCTTATATCCACGGTTTAGGTTTGTATGGGGTTCAAGCTTCAAGGCGCTATAGCCTTCTCTCCCTCTCTCCATCCACTTCTCGTTGCTGCCTACTGGTGGCTAATGGGTTGATGGATCCTTGCGGTAGTTAAGAACTGAGTAAGCCTGAAGAGTTATCCCAATATTCCATTCCATGATGTCCTATTGGGCACCAGTAAATAGCCCCCTGAAGCTCGAAAGATCTATCTCCCAAACTCCAAAACCTGTTCACGATGTGCCCCCTGAATGCGCCTTATGAAGAATCTCTCTCTCTCTCTTTCTCCTTTTCTGCCTGCCAATCTGCACTGCTATGAGGCCCAACAAAATCTGGCTTGTAGCTCCGTCTGGGATCTCGAGCGCCCATCACAGTCCTCAAGGTCACATGTAAAACGCGAATTCCTCACGAGAACCCGTGCTGGTACGTTACCTGTTTTCTCATTATGATACTTAATATGTTTTTCTTGTCCGTTTGCTACGACCACCACCGACACCGTCAACATTGCCATGGCTAAGCCCTAACGCCTGAATTTGGCGCCCTAGCCTGTAAACCCTACATGCCAAACCCTAAAACATCACCACCAAACCCTCTGTACCCTAAATCTGTTCTAGAACACTCTCGCGCCTGAGGCGTCTTCATAGCAGCCGATGCTGGCGGCCGCGCTGCGCTCCGCGGCGAGGCACAGAATGATGGCTTCGAAGGAGCTAAGGGTTCAGGGGGTTTTGGGTTTACTGGGTTGCTG